AAAAAAAAAAAAAAAAAAAAAATTGCACCAGGCACATGAGTGCACACCCAAAATCTCAGGAGGAGAATGAAAAAGGGACTCTCCATCTGATGGTCCCTATCTTCAACAACCATAACAACCTCTATACAAAATGACTTTTTGTAAAAATAGTTCATTTAAGAAAAAAGTTACCTTAGCTGCTTGAGATTCTCTTAAGTAATATTTTAAAAGATCAGAAAGCTTGAGGTCCTCATCGGCAGACACTCGTGCTTCTATTTTCTGAAGAGGAAAAGATTTAATCAGCAATTACATTCTACTATCAGCATTATCCTTTTTAATAATACTGTTAAAAAAAAACCTTGAAGTTATAAATACATACAGTATTCATTTCTATTTTATCTGGGTTTCCCTCTCTTTCTGACTAGCTGATTATTTTTCTTTGCAATTCAAAGAACAAATTAACAGAAAAAAAGATTAGATCAAATGAAATTAGTGGGCATAGCCAGTAGCATGGGGATTTAGGTGACTGGATTCAACATGGCTGACTACACAGTTCAAGTCCTGAACCCAGCAGGACTTTGTGCATGCATGCCCAAAATCTCAAGAGGGGAATGGAAGAGAAGGAATTGAAGTGTGGCAATTTCCTCTCAGAGGGTACTTTCTCACTTTTTCTCTCTCTGGCAAGGGCACACACCCTATAGCAAAATTAAATTAGTGAATTCACAGAGAGACTTTTTCTTTTTCTTTTTCTTTTTTTTTTTAATTTACTAGAAAATGAGTATGCTTGCCAGACAAAAAGAGAGAGAAAGCAACCCCCATGGGACACAGTAATGCAGCAATGCCTTCTTCTCCACTTCTCCATCATGTTAAGATTTGGAACATGCATGCACATACACTTAGTGTGTTTTTCAACCTATCAGGGCCAGGATTCAAACCACTGTTGGCCATATGGGATCCAAAAGTTTCCTCCTTCTGGGACTCTGGGCTCACACACACACATGCATGTGCCCACCATGTTTTCTAAGCTGACAGGTCTGGGACTCAGATTATGCTGTAAGCCACATGGGATATAATTTATGTAACCACTGGGCTATGGGCCGGCCCCTGAAATCAGATTTCTACATTGGACTAGCCACCATTACTATCAGTTAAATAGCATTAAACATCCAAGTAAATATTTCCACTTTTCTACTAACTGATAAAATATTAAATACTATTGTACTTGGAGCTGACTCCCCAAAATCAAGACTATATCAATATTAAATTACTACTAGCAGCCCCAGCCATGGTGGTACATGCTGTTAAGACCCTCTGCTTTGTTGGCAGGGATGACATGAGGCGCCCAGGTTTGATTCCCAGTCCAACACAGAGGTTGGGCATAGTGGTACACACCTGTAATCTCAGTGATTCAAGAGGTTAAGACATAAAGATTGCAAGCTCAAGGCTGGCCTGGGCAATGTAGTGAGACTCTGCTTGAAAGACCAGGTGTGGTGGTGTGTGCCTTTAGTTCTCGCTGGGAGGGTAAGGCCAGAGAAGTACTACAAAGTCAGATCCTGCCTTGAGAAAAAACATTACTACTATAGTACAATCTTCCCACAGGTATTCACTTGCCTGCTAAGTAATGCTTTTGTTTTTTTTTGGATGTACCTATTATATTCATGGGAGCATACACAAGAAGGGGGAACGGACACTCTCAACAGGGACCTCAAGGACCTGTCAAGCCCTGATCCCTCTTCTCCAGCCCTCCAGTGCATCAGAATCTTGGGCACATGTGCATCCAACATGTCTGTGAGTCAACTCAGGATCCAAATTGTGTGTCAGCTGTATGGCTTCCACTACTGCAGTTAAGCATGCTGTCAGCTATGCCACTGAAGAAAGCCTGAAGTGTCTTTTTTTTTTTTTTTTTTTTTTTTTGGGAGCTTTTGTGCCATAGGGCACGTGCACTCACCAGAAAGACTAAGAGAGACAGAGAGACAGAAAGCAAGAAACTACCCCCCCCGGGGGATGGCCACACCACAATCCCTTCTCCTCCATTCTCTTCTTGGGATCTTAGGTACGCATGCACATGCGCCTGGCGTGAGTTTAAGCCACCAGGTCTGGGACTTGAACCACAGTCTACTATAGGGGAGTGCAGCGACATAGCCACTACGCCAACTGCTGGTCCCTGAAGTGTCCACTTTTAAACCAGTGTGATATGGGTTATCAAAAGCAATATAGTTTTGGTAAAGTTAAAAATGAATCTAGGGGCTAGCAGGTGGCATGGTAGTTAATGGTGCTGGACTTCCACATGGCCAACTGAGGTTCGAGTCTTGGGCTTGGTGGCTTGTGCGCTCTCTCTCTCTCTCTCTCTGTCCCCTTCTGGGCAAATTTAATAAACAAACAAACAAATAAATAAATGTTACATAAAATAATTCTTAAAAAACAAAGAGCCCCAACCATCATGCCAACTGCTGGCCCTCTTTTTTCTTCTTTCTAATTTGTTATAGGGCACATGCACTTGCTAGAGATAGAAATTGGGGGGACTGTAAAAGTGGGGGTGACGGCTATGCTGCAGTCCCTTTTCTTCCACTCTACTCTAGGATTCTTGGGCACAAATATGTGTCTGCTGTGCCCCTTAAGCTACCCTTAAACCATGCACTTGACCATGTGGGATCCAGCTGCCATACCACCACCTGACCCAAGAAGTATTCTTTTAACAAATTTGTAAATATACAACACAGTATTGTTAAAGACAGGCACAATGGGACCAGCAGTTAACGTAATGGCTATGTCACTGGACTCCCATGGAGTCAACCACGGTTCGAGTCCCGGACCCAGTGGCTTAAAACTCACGCCGGGTATGTGTGCGTGCGTGCCCAAGATCCCAAGAGGAGAATGGAGAAGGGAGTGTGGTGTGGCCATCCCCCCTGGGGAGTGATTTCTTGCTTTCTGTCTCTCTGTCTCTCTCTGTCTGTCTGGTGAGCACAAGCGCCCTATAGCAAAAACCTCTCAAAAAAAAAAAAAAAAAAAAAAAGGATAGGCACAATGTAGTTCAGTAGAGCTCCAGAATTTAGTACTTACTCTTGTTTTATCAAACAGTTCTGAAACTTTGAGAAAAAACCTAAAAGAAAAAAATAATTTCATTAGAAATTACATTTAAAATAATTTTCCATTTAAAATATTCAGTGTATATCTCTGAACCATACTAATAACGAACACTTGTCTCATCACAGTAACATTCAATGTAGATTTCATTTAGTTCCAAGAAAAATCTCCCTGTACTTTCACTATATAACAGATGACATGAAATCCGCTGTGGCAGAAATCTGCCCATTTCAAGATGACAGTCTAAACCATACATTAAACTTAATATGCCACGTGATGCTAAATAAAGCCTATGCCTTCAAAATTATAGAAATACAGAGCAGTAACATTAAAAAAAAAGGCCGATTTAAAATAAAAACACAGAAGTTGAGATAGCTCTTGAAGTTATCTGATAGTTATTTTGTGTGTGTGTGTGTGTGTGTGTGTGTGTGTGTGTGTATGTGTGTGTGTGTTTGCCATAGGGTATGTAGACTCCCTGTGGAGAGACAGAGGGAGGCAGTGAGAGGGAAAGTGAGAAATTGCCCCCAAGTGGCGATGGTCAGACTGCAATTCCTTCTCCATTCTTTTTTAGAATTTCAGGCAAGCGTGCACATGTACCCAATGTGATTTTCAAGCCATGAGATCTGGGACTCAAACTGTGGTCAACCATGTGAGAGTTCAGCACCTTAACCACGTTACCTGCTGGTATCCTGATAGCTGTTTTAAACATTTTCAAATATAGCTGCTTTGTTTGGAAGGGGAAAATAAATAAATAAATAAATAAATAAATAAATAACTGATTTCTATCTCAGAATTTCTTTACTTTTTTTTTAGTTTTTTTTTTTTCTTTTCTTTTCTTTTCTGTTTGTTTGTTTTTCTCATAGGGCATATGCACTTGCTAGAGAGAAAGTAAGAAGTCACCTCCCAGGTGGGATGGTCACACCTCAAGCCCTTTTCCTCCTGGGATCTTGGGCGCATGTGTGTGCATGCACACAGACCCAGTGTGGTTTTTAAGCTGCCGGGTCCAACACTCAAACCATGCAGTCGCCCATATGGAATCCAGCACTTTAACCACCATCCCACCTGCTGGTCCCTCAGAATTTATTTTTACTTGGAACCACTGTAAATAGCCTATCTCCCAAATACCAATATCAATGAAAAATGTCTCAACAACAAACCATTAAAGAATGTTCTGTAAAATATAAATTATAGGGGATTTATCATTAAACGAAGGCAAAAACTATTGAAAACAAAACCACAATTTTATGAACTTTATTTTACTGAAGAAAAAGGTTGCTTTGACAGGTGTCTGTTAAATAACACATAGCAGGTGGCGAGGCAGTCAAGGCGCTGGGCTTCCACATGTCCAACCACAGTTCAAGCTCTTTTTTTTTTTTTAATTTTTAGCTTTATTTATTTTATTTATATTAATTTGACCAGAGAGGGGCGGAAAGAGACAGAGAGACAGAGAAAGCGAGCTTCCAGGTCTGGGACCTGAACCATGGTCAGCCATGTGGGAGTCCAGTACCCTTAACCACCATGCCACCTGCTGGCCCCAACACAGTTTAGTTCTGAACCTGGTGGTTTGCTATCTCACTTTTGGCCTCTCTCCCTCTCTCTCTAGTGAGTGTATGTATCCCATAGGAAAATTTTTTTTAAATAATAAATAAAATAATGATTTAAGAAAATAAATAAAACATAGCAAGGTTTGTTTTGTTTTGTTTTGTTTTTTAGATGAAAAGCTTAAAAATTAATTCCTTGGGAAAGCAGTGTGTTAATTAGTGTAAGCTATGGTGACTTGCTTAGCTGAAAAGCTTGGCTTTTGAGACCAGCAGATGGCATAATGGTTACGTCATTGAACTCCCATGTAGTTGACCATAGTTCAAGTTCTAGACCCAGCAGCTTGAAACTCATGTTGGGCACACATAGAGGAGACTGGAACAGAAGGGCATGCAGTATGGCTATCCCCACAGGGGGTGATTTCTCACTTTCTGGTTCTCTGGTGAATGCACATGTCCTACAGCAAAAATCTCCCTTAAAAAAAAAAAAGAGAGAGAAAAAAAAAAAAAAAAGAGAGAAAAGAAAAGCTTGGCTCTTAAACTGAAACAGAATATACTAAAAAAAAGTTTGAGACTAACAGATGGCATAATGGTTACGATGCTGGACTCCCATGTAGTTGACGGTGGGTCGAGTCCAGGACCTGGTGGCTTAAAACTCATACCAAGTCCCAGGACCAGCAGTTAGCATAATGGCTACGTTGCTGGACTCCCACGTAGTCAACCACGGTTCGAGTCCCGGACCCGGTGACTTAAACTCACTCCAGGCACGTGTGCTTGCGTGCCTAAGAACCCAAGAGAAGAATGGAGGAGAAGGGATTTGCGGCGTGGCCATCCCCCCTGGGGGGGTGATTTCTCGCTTTCTGTCTGTCTGGCGAGCGCACACGCCCTATAGCAAAAACCTCTCCCCACCAAAAAAAAAACCTCATACCAAGTCCATGTGCCCAATCCTGAGAGAAGAATGGGACTACGGCATGGCCATTCTCCTGGGAGGGTGATTTCTTGCTTTCTGTCTCTCTGATGAGCGCATGCATAAAAATCTCTCTTAAAAAAAAAAAAGAAAAGTTTAAGGATGTTGCTTTTTATTTCTTGGAGTACAGCTGACATTTAAATATATATATTGATACATGTATATATATATATATGAGGGAAGTTTATAAAGTTCATTGAAGATCTGTATTATTAAAACACTATGCATAAAGAAGTTGAGAGGGGCCAGCAGGTGGCATGGTGGTTAAAGGTGCCGGACTCCCACATGGCCAACTGCAGTTTGAGTCCCGGACCTGGAGGCTCACTTGCTCTCTTTCTTGTCAAAATTGAAAAATAATGATAATAAATAATTCTTAAAAAAAAAAAAATTTGAGAATTCTGTTCAAAGGCATCTCTCAGTCTGCCAAGAAGGTACCATGAGCAAAGCTTACCCTCCTAAATTGAAAAAAAATATATATATGGACAAGAAGTTATGGTTGAAATCAAATGGTGGCAAACATGTCCAAGGAATGTTGTAGGGATTTGATCCATTTATGAATCCTGTAATAGACGAAAGTGTGGAGATGGCACCTAGTGGGCAACAGAGTAATACTGGAATAGTGGTAATATGAAGAAATAGTATCATCATGTTAGCAGCCTTGGACGGAGTATAAATAACGGCTGCACAACAGAAAATTACATGTTCCCTTGGCAACTGGACTGTTTTACTATGATGTAAAAAAAATCAGGCCATGCACATTTTTATAATAAACTTTTTGTTACGTAAAAACAAAAACAACAAACCTTGCATAGATTTCAATTTGCTTTAAAAATAATTGATAAAGGGTGTGTGCACTCACTGGAGAGACAGAGAGAGAGGGAACACACTCCAGTGGGGAATGGGCACATTCCAATCCTTTTTTCTTCATTTCTCCTCTCTGGATTTTGGGCAAGCATGCACACACACCTCAGGTGTTTTTTTGTTTTGTTTTGTTTTTAGGTATAGCAAACTGGGGAGTTTATTAATAAAGGAAGGAGTTTATTAAAAGAGAGGGAAAGGGAAACAGAGCTCCCAAGAAGGAAGGTGTCCTGGAAAATCGGTTGCCCTTCTCTGGGTGTTTTTCAATCCACCAGGTCTGGAACCCAAACTGTGCAGTTGGCCATGTGGGATCCAGCTTCCCTAATTGGTCCTATAAAGGGTATGTTTGCATGTATGCCTGAAATCTCAACAGAATGGAGAAATAGAGAGGTGATTGTGGCATAACCACATCCTACTGGGGGATGCTTTCTCCTTCTCCCTCT